GGCTGGGGGTCGGGGGCAGCCGGAGGTTGCCCTTCTCCGCTCACCGTACGCCCCCCGCCCTGCTCACTCGAGTCCCCTCGGGAGGCCCCTCCAGGTACTCCGGGGGTCCCGGGAGACACCTCCTGCACCTGGGCCGTCCCGAGGGCTACCGGGGCCGCGCCCTGAAGAGGGTGGACGTTGAGAAGCCCCAGCTGCCCCCGAAGCTGCCCCTGGTCGGGCCCTCCCCGCCGGCCGTCCCCAACGGCAGCCATTTCAACTTTTAAAGGGAGTCGCTCCGCGGCCGTGGCCGTGAGCATGGACACGTCTCCAAGGACAGGTCACCTCCCCCTCTCCTTGTCCCACACCTCCAGCCTTCCTGGACTCCGAGAGTCTCTCGGGGTCCCCGCCTGCCTCGGGTTTATTTATTGACTGTCTTTCCCTCTGTCCCCTCGAGGGAGGAGTGGGAGATGAGAAGCTTGCCCCCTCAGTGAGCCAGCTTTTCGGGGGGACGGGCGCACTCCCACTCCCCCCTCCCTCAGCCAAGCTGCCTTAATTCGCCCCTCCGGGCTTCCTCCCTAGACTGGGCCCCGGGCGGGCCGCAGGCGGACAGACGGACGGGGCTGGGGCCACCGCGTTGTGTAGAGTCCTCGGGCCTCCCGGGACGTGCCTCCTCCTACTGTGTAGGAGCCTCCGCTTCCCAATACAGCTGTGTCCCCCAACCGCTGCCTGGCTTCACTCGCGGAGGGGCGGGGGTCGGTCGGCTCGCTCCTACCTAGCGCCTTTGCCCCTGAATCTCTGCCTTCGTCTTGGCCTTGAGCTCTCCGAGCTATTGAGATGGCCGCGGTCCCACCGGGGTTAATCAGGAAAGGTTTCCTGAAGGAGACAAGCGAAGAAAGGGTGTGGAGATGAACCAGGGCCCAGGAGAGCTCAGGTGGGGTGGGGAGGGCCCTCGGAGCACGCTTCTAGGTTGAGGTGAGAGGGACTTTTTCGTAGCCTGTTCCAGGGGGTGGGGGAGGGTATTTCTGGAGACAAAATGAAGCCGCAGCGTAAGTGATTTGTTTCGCATCAGGAAATCTTGTCCTAAAGAGAGTCTGGAGGGTCTGGGTCGCATGAGGAGTAGACTGCAAAAATAGCAAAGGATGCAGCCCTGTTGGAGGAAGGGGTCGGCCCCAGCCGCTCCCTAAGGAGCAGTGCCCCCTCGCTTAGCGGGAGGGGGCTCCAGCGGGCGTGTCGCCGCGCGCATGCGCGGCCTCCTCTCGCGGCGCCTGGGGCCGCACTCAACCCCGCGCGCGGAGCATCAGCCAGCGTGTGGCCGCCGCGGTGTTCCTCTGGCTGGGGCTGGCTGCGGGTCCTTGTCCGTTACCCCCGGGGACCAATGGGAGGGACGAACAGGACCGCCTGCCCCGCCCCCTCCCTCGCGCTGAGGACACTTAAGGCCTCGCGCCAGCCGTGGCTGCTTTTGCGGATTTACGAGTCGGGTTTTTGCCTGCGCGTGGCGGGAGTAGCGTCCCAGTCCGAGCCCCAGGCCGTCCTCCCGCTGGCGCCGCCTGGAGGCCGGACCGAGCCCTGCAGCCAAGGACGCCTCGCCCATCGCTGTTCCCCGTCGCTGCCTAAATGCCTTGGGCGAGAAATCGCTGCGAGCGATTTGGTCAGAAACCCTAAAATTGTTTCTAACTCTGCCCTTTGCTACTTGTGATCCTGACAAGTCAAAGCTCTACCCTAAATTTGCGTTTCCGTATCTGAAAAATGGGGTCGAGCGGCTCAAGCACGATAATGTATGTAAAAACGCTTTCTAAAGGAGAAAGCATGGCAGCTTGTGAGCTGGTGGTTCCTCCAAACGCAAGCATAGGCTGGTCCTCACTTTGCGATCTTCTACTGAGCGATCCGTTTCCCTTCGTCTCCTTATAACCTTCATTTATAGAGTTTACCCTCGAGGTTTTGAAATGCCCTCCGAACATTCCTCACGCCTCGGCTCTCGGGCCTCATCGGAGCTTGTTTCACGGGGTCGGGGAAATTTAGGTCTTTTTTCCCTCATTGGATGCCTTTCTTAAACCAAGATGCTCTGAAACCATTGCTAGTTTCCTAGATAGTAGAGGAGAGCAAGGAAGGAGCGGAGGATCTTTCTTCTTCAAACCAAGATGGGAAAGCCACGACAGAGAAGAAAATTTCAGGCTGCAGCCCTTAGGGACAAGTCTCACAAATACTTCAGTTCTGGCCCTGAAGGTGGTCACGAGGAAAGGGGTAAATGATCCTCAGGTTTAAATATAGACCCAAAAGAGAAGTACAATAGAAATTTAACCTTGTGATTTTGCAGGCAGCAGCGATTTACAGGTTAAAGTCCTGGTTTCAGTTTAATTGTGAAGGGTGTTCATTTATTAGTATTTGTAAAGTATGGCCACTTCTCTAACCAAGAGTCCCTAAGCTGGATTCTCAGAACCTTGGCAGGGCTCGTAAAAGCAGCTATGTTGCAGTGAGCGACCATCTTTGGACTCCGCCCCTTGAACGTTTAGTGTGTGGCCTTAGCATCAACTGCCTTCAACCAGCCCCGATTTCTTTTGTAAAGTATAGAAAGAACGTATGTCCAACAGGGTTTATAAATATACAACCATATAAATATGTAGGTTTAAATTAAGTGCTTCGTGGGAAATGATTATTTGCCAAAAAATAGACTACTACCAAGTATGCAATTCATTAATACCCATGAAATACTTCATCCTCACAGAGTAAGTGAATAATAAATAAAGGGAGTGAATTTAAAGAAATTATCACTGACACAGAGGAATAAACAACTCCCATTAAGGCATCTGCTGATAGTCTTTTTTGAAAAAAATAGAATATTGGCTCAAATTTTGCTTTTAGAAAAACCAGAATGTGCCAAAAGGAGGATAAAGTCATCCTCCTGCGGGATTTCCAAGCTGATTTCTCAGAGGTATCCTGGGAGGTTATGGAGAAACCAGGGCCCCAGTAGGCAAAGTCCATCAGCTTGTGTAAGGCTTTGGGGACCTGAAACACAGAAGGTTCCACAGTTGCAACCTTGAAAAGCTGTTCAGCATCTTGGGTTCTTTGGGAGCTAAGTCACAGGGGCCTGAGTTATTATTGTCTCTCACATTTATGTCTCCTTGATGCCACTATCCCACACTTGGGAACCACACAAGTATGAGTCACTCTCTGCTACTTAATTCAGCAGGTGACCCTTTAGCACTGTTGGCTCATAAGAATGTAAGGTTATATGCATGAGAGCAAGGTTCAGGTACATGGATAAACATGAAGCCTAAGAATCCAAAAGATCACCTGCCTTGACCAGGTATATTAGGGTCCCAACAGGAAATAGATGACATGCTCAAAATAATGAAGGACTATTTTTAAAAAGTGTGGGCAAGGGATAGGTTGGTAACTGGAGGCTAGTAACAGCCTTAGGCCTGAAAGGACAAAGGGAGGTAGTGGTTATTGGGACCTAGAAGGAAAAGTTGCCTTGAGAGGAGGGAGCAGTGACCTTTAATCAAAGGATACAGCTAGGCCCACGTGTATCTTCAGTCTTTTCTCTCCCTCCAGTAGGGGCTGGAGCCCCCTACTGGCTGAATCCAACTGGAAGCCAAAGCACAAGGAGCCCTTTGATGAAATTCATGCAGAATAAGACAGAAAATAAAATACAGAAGAGAAGAGACAAAGCTGGGAGGAAGGAGATGATATCCAGCATACTACAGATGAAGACCCCGTCCACTCCCCCAAGAGAAGGTAACTTTGACTCTCCTTATTCAAGTACTGCAGGCCAGCAACTTTAGGGAGATGCCTGCTGAATTCGTTTTGGAACAAAATTGACTTTGGGGAATTTGCGGGAAAGGCTGATTGGAGAATTTACTCCTCCCCGCCGCCCCCACCACAGTTTTTTAACTGCAACTGGAGATGAATGCAGCTGAGCAAAGCCAAGAAAGCTAGCACCAATTATGGGACAAACTAGAGGGAAGAACACTGATAACTCTGTGCAGAAACTGTAGTTTTAAAAAGAACAACTTTTTAAAGCTGTGGGACTCTGGGCAAAGTCACCACCTGTTTTTTTTTGTTTTTTGTTTTGTTTTGTTTTGTTTGTATCCATACACTGAAGATAATACATAACTTGCAAGATAGGTATGTTCATGTGTATGCAAAGGGCCTAGTTCATTGCCAGACATGTAGCAAAAGCTTAAACCGTGGAAGCTGTTATTATTTATGTTGGCCTCTTGCTCAAACATCACCTTCCTTTACAATAAGAACTTTCTTAAACTTTAGGACTGGTTATGGGAGTAGAGTGCAGCCCACACTGCTCCGGGGTCCCCTATAGTCTTAATTTGCTCTGCTGCCCATCAGACGTCTTGCACAAACCTTACGTAGGTACAGTTATCATTAGATTGCTCACACTTCAACTTCTCTTGTATTTTCTATGTACTGATCTCCTTGGAGTAGAGGGCTCACTTCCACAGAGAAAAATCTTAGGAAAGTCGCCGTAGTTCACGTTTTCACCCATCACGTAAGAATATTTCCCTGCAGGGAACTCTAGGTTCCTCTCTCTCCAATTCCCTTTTGACTCTCCCATACTCTCTCACTAGGATTTTAATTCAACAAGACTCTTAGTTCTTTGCATTTCAAGGCTCAAGTCCGTGCCTGATCTTGGCTGATCTTGGAAGCTAAGCAGGGTCAGGCCTGGTTAGTACTTGGATGGGAGACCACCTAGGAAGACCA